ATTCCAATTTGAATTCATTTCGATTGCTTCTATTAATGCATATTTTAATATATTATGGTTTGGTAGTTCATTTCGTAACGATGCGGGAAATAGAAGCTTTAATATTAATAGGACCTTAACCTAATTTTCCATTTATTCCAATTATTGGAGTCATTTAACTGCCCATCCCCATCCCCTAGAGATGATGCGATAACAGTAATTGCAAATTTGTTCTAGGCTAGTTTTCTGCTGCAGAAATTAATAACCATATTTTTGTTTTCTGTAAATCAATAACCAGTTTTCATTCTTTACGAACGAACACGACACTAGAACGAGCCCGAGCTTGAAAAACACTCGCTTTTTGTACTCTGTAAGCCGGGATATATTTGATTGACGTGTTCGCCAGTTTGTTATTTAACAAACGGTATCAATAACCAGTTTACACATATTACACAATTATTGAGTAAAGTATCAAATTAAAAAGTTAATTAAATTGCGTCTTGTCTACATATCGTTTTAACTGATTTTAATTAAATTGAAACGAAAGGTTATTGCATGAGAACGACAACTTTATAGATTTAAAGATCACTAATGATGAAAGGAACATAAATGAAATTCTTCCAACAGGTAATTACATTTTAATTAAATTATAGCAATGTTACACTGTACCAAACTATAACAATTAAATTCATGAATGTTATTCTATTACAAATCGCCCTAAACACACACGCTAGTCACGTGCTTGAATTCATTGCTTTAACATTAACAATTATATAACTACTACAGAGCTCGTTGTCGATATTCTGGAATTCTTCAAGATTGTCCATGATATTCTGGAATTCTAGAAACTCGTTGTCAATGGTCTGAACTTCTAGGAGCTCGTTGTTGATAAACTAAATTTCCAGAAGCTCGTTGTCCAAAATCTAAATTACCAGAAGCTCGTTTATATTTTTCAAGTTGCAATATATATCCCCTTGTTGGTTTGCTTAACGTTCATACAATTATAACTGTGACAGTGTGCTTTTTCTTTTGACAATTTCAGTTCGAAATAAACGTGCCACAGATGCGTTGTTAATTAAATGATATTTTTACACACGTTGTATAATACCCATATCAAATACGACTCGTCACATAGACCGTGACGCTTATATTCATAGTTTATCCCGAATACGTCTATTCTCTGTCGAAATATGTATTTTGTGTAGTTTGAATTGGAAAAAAGATCAAGGAAGCCATTTTCGGGGAGAAGCAAAGCAGGAGTGAAATAAACATCAGAAATCAGGAACCATTATACTATAATATATATATATGGTCTTTATTTATAATAGAAGGCCATCGGCCCATAATATCTACATACATTATTTATATTTGAAAATAAAATTACAATTTTTAAACAATTGACAATACTTGTAGCTCTTTTCGCAATTTCATTGCGTGAAACGTAAAGGCTCCCAGTCTTTGAAGAAGATCTGTATTTTTTGTACCCATAAATTTGTAATATTTACTGACTGTTGGGGGATTAAAATAGTTAGCAGGAATATACT